TATTGTTGATAAATATGATTAAAAATATATGAATAGACAAATTTATGATTTATTATTACAAAGTTTAGTTGAGTATTTTAATGTACTGCTGCAGTACTACTGCATAAATAGTTTGTTTCCTTATCTGTATTTTATTGCAATTTATAATTAAATTATAAAATAAGTTTTAAGGACTTTTCGTAAACAAACCAATTATTAGGATTAATGTGTAATTAACGTATAATAAGTTAACATAAACTTTATATTATAAAATATAATTCTCTATTAAGACCTTACATTCAATGTGAATGTCACGAGCAAAAACATATCTAGAAATATGTTTACTATAAATAGCATTTAATTAGCGATTTTCATATTAAATATTTCTCTAACAAGAGGTCCAAAAATTTTCGGGTCTTCCTGATAGGCAATATTGAGCTGACATTTGCCCATTTGGTAGATATCTCCCAAAGCTAACAAAAGTCGTCCAAACTTTGTCTGCGCCTCCCATTCGGTCACATATTTGAGTGAAAGATAGCGTTGAAGTAAATATAAATAGAGATTCTGTTGAAATCTGTGATGTGATTGCAAACGAGAATTTAGTTTTATAAAGTTGCTAATTATGGCGATATTTAATTTGTTTACTATATTTATCACTCACTTAATGACATCTTTCTGTTGTAGGTATTGTCGGTCGGGATTATAGAGCACTATAGCCATCAACTGTAGGCATATAAATAATTTCATCAATATTACTGTTAATTATTATACAGTTAATTATTGGCAAATAACTGTTTACCAGGTCCAATATGATTGGGTCAGAATCCCATTCATAGCACATAGACATGAAATAACTTTTATAAATCTTATAAATATCTCGTCGTATAATTTTCAGTATATCAGCGTTTAATTGGTATGTAAACCTATGATTGTTCTGGGTAAATAACAAAAATACAAACTATACTGTTAATTTCAATTGAAAATGTAACATGTAAATTCATTACCAAAAATATATTCCAATATTCATTACTCTTATTATAAAAGCTGAGAGACCGGAGGCACATAATATCAAAGCACCCGTACTTGACCAGGGCTATCTTATCGTTTTCGCATATATTCTCAAATGTACTCAAATTCTTTGAAAGTGTTATCACGTTTCGTATCTCTTTATCGCAGAATTCATTATATACTCCATTGAATACATCAATATTTGTTATATTAAACACCGGTTTCAACGGTAACGGAGTGGTAAACATCTTGGTCACACTTGACAGCTCTAGGAGTTTCATATGTTGCACCTCTTGGAAACTATCACTGAATGGTCTCTCGATTCTGTGACAAACATCTAATGCCCTCTCCTTGTCCTCAACATTTGGGTTCATTTGGCCGGTTATCTCATTATTATTATCTTCAATATAACTCACAATCTCTTGAATCTCGGACTCAACTAACTCTTCACTAACATTATTATCTTCAAACAATTCACTCAAAAAATCTTTATTTTTATTTGGTTTGCAAACTATTTGTTCAGATGAATGGCTAGCATTGGAATCGCGTCTAAAGTCGTTAAACACTTTGTCAATGAATGATAATTTGACACAATTTCTAGTGTCTTGCGAATCAATCTCTTCGTCGGAATTATCATAACTTTTGTATATCTCTGACGATGTCTTTGAGTCGTTGCTATCAGTATTGATGGCATTGTTTTGTCTTTTCTTACGATTCTCTTCCACAAGAAGTCTTCGGCTGTATTTCTGCTCTTCGTTTCGTATGTTTTCCTATCAATCAAATCAAAATCACAAATAATTTACTTATTCCTGAATTAATTCACAAAAATATTTTTCATTACTTTCTTCATACCAACGGACAGACACTTATTTAGACGACACTTTCGGCACGACTTTCTCGTCGTGCGGTTTATGACACAATTGTCATTAGTTTTACATTTGAATACCTTGTTAATTAAAAAATATTTAAAAATCAATTAAAAATGCTAAATTAAATTTTTAATTTACTTTATTTTTAAGTGCATTTCGTCGAAAGAAAGGTTTACACGATTTACAGGCCAGGGCTCCGAAGTGTTTGCCTATTAATTAGTTAATTATCATTCAATTAATATCATTGAAAATTAATAATACCTTGGTAAATCACATTTACATACCTATAGCCTCATCCCCACAGACAGCACACAGTTTTACATCAATTTTATCACTCATTTCTTTATAATTAAGTTGAAAGTATACACAAAGAAATTCACTTAAAATGTCTTTATATTACACTGGTAACATTGGTAGCATTGGTAACATAGTGTTACATAATGAACTTTTGCATATAACGTAGATATTTTTCTGGCAATTAAGTTGATGATTAAAATGTTTACTAAATATGTTAAAATTGATTGAATAATATAAAACTGATTGAGTACTTGTTTATGTATTTAATTTCAATTAGCTATAATAAAAATCTGATGATTACATGTGAAAAATCAAGTGTATGTATGTGTTGGATATCAATGATCAATGTTAACAAGTTTTGCTGAAATCTACGAGTTTTGAAGGTTTTCTGCTTTATTTCAAATTCAGTTCCTAATGATCCCATGTATATATTTTTTACAATTATGACTACCAGTGCTGTCAGTACTTTGACATATACTTAATTTTACAATCACGTGAGCTATCGATGTGTAATAAATCGTGAACATTAATGGGATTCCCGGTCGCGTCAAAACTTTGAATAAATTTACAAAGGATACTGTTATAAAAGCATTACGAGTTTCCTAAGCTGGCATTTTTGATTTGTTGATTGGAAATGAAAGCCCATTCAATGCTGAGTCCGAATATGCAATTTATATTGTCCTGTGACCTCGGGTTCGGCCGCAATGACCACTTTTACCGGGAATATTTTTCATAATAAATATGGACATGTGATATATCAATTCAATAGAGAATTTTTCACAGATCATGGTAGTTATAATAGAAATATTGTAAGGTGTATATTTAAAGTGTTAAATGAATATAAATCCTAAAATATTGAATATTTTTCATATGCTACGTTATTTATGGATATTTTTAGTAAAATATTATTAGATATAAGAATGGTCAGGTCAGAGAACCGAGTAATGTGCTCCACCTCAGGATACAAATGAAAACACTTAATGATTACAAACTAAACCACTTTATTAAACAAAGACTTAATTCATTACAATAGATGTGCACTGAATGAGTGCTTAGTATAGACTCGTTCTAAGGCATAGAAGTGCCATACATGAGATAATGAGCTAATGGTCAGTATCTGTGAGTACAGTACAACTCTATTGGAAAGTCCTAGTGCTGCCCGTGAGGCACAGGTGTGATGACTCGGCCAATGGGTAGCCAAGAATAGCAACTCATAGACCTTCGTTACTCCCCCATCACTTAACAGGACGGCCGCTCGAAGAATGACACCGGTAATCTGAGGCGTACGCGAAGATTGAGGCCAACGATCCATTTCGAGGCGTCGGTGAGGATGAGTGCGATGTTTGGTAGGAGTGGGCGGTGAGCGCGACCTGTGGTTTATGAACAAATGTGTTGTGTGGGCACAAGTGGTGCGCCATGGGGCTGACCAGAATTTGCGTGTCCAGAGGTCATGTAGACGGGAGGCATAGCCAGTATGGCGGCGACTGGTATGCAAATCCTTCCGAAAACGTTGTGTTTGAGTGCCTGCTAGTGAGCTATCAGTGGTGAGATGGGAGGCAGTGGTTGGAAAGGACTGGTAGTGTGCGAGACAGTAGCCACCAGTGAATGCAATGCAGTGGTGATGACCATTGTTGATGGTGTTTGGGAGGCTTTAACGTCATCGGCTGTTGGCTGTAAGGCTGGCCAAGGTCTTCATCGGTGCCGGGAGAGCCAACTCCTGATTCTCGCACCGCACAGGTGTAGATCCCAATGGAAACACCTGCACGACATCGGCGATTGTGGAGTGTGGAGGAGGTCGGGTAGAGGGATGGGTGGGGTTTAGTGGAGGCCGTATTGGGAGGGGTTGGAAATAAGTCTTAGCTGAATTGCATGAAGGCTAAACTTATTTATGATTTGACTTATATTTGAGTTAATCACATTTTATATATAAAATATGTATAAAATAGCATTATTTCGTGATATATTAAGTTTTTGATATTTTGAGTGATGAAATAATAATCTGTATTAAATT